ACTCTGTCAAACACCACAAAGATAAAACCACCTTCTCACCTTCTCAAACCCAGACGGTCAAATCTCCCCGACCGTCGCACGCCCCTTGACCCAAATTAATCAACACACTCCAAAACCCATCCATTAAAAATCCACCTTCTGCCTGCACAGTGTCACATCTTTTCAAAAGAGAACTTATTTTAGAGAGAACTGGACTGGCTGTAAGTGGAAACACTGGCACTAGCGGGCTGTAATGAGCCAAAAAAACTCCAGCTGGCTAAACTCAAAGTCTCAAGCAGGTAGCGCAACACAAAAAACCATTAGATATGCTTTACAGGGCTCTCTGAGCAAAGCCGCTTTATACGCTTTCGGCTAGCCGGGGAGAAGCCCAAAGGGAACATGTGCATTATCTATTAGTTTAAGCCCCGTGTCTGTAGGGGAAAGCCCTCCATCTGTGGCTAACCTCAGCACTCACAGGCCTGGATGGTATCCACCTTCTTTCTGGCTTATGGAGAGAAACAGCACTGGGGACGTTGGCATTTTCTTTTGATGCCTTTACCTTGCAGGCGGCACAACTGGGAAGATTTTACAATCTTTTGACATATTCTAAATATGAAACGTCAGTCGGTATAGCTTTCCCCTCCATACTGGACAGAAATGGGACGCTTTTTTCAGCAAGGGCATTTTCTTTGTCTGCATAAAAATGGAAACTGTGTTGAAATCATTGAAACTGTATATACACACAGAGATGTAGTCAAAGGTAAATATATTATATTGTCTACTTTGTTGTTATTATTACTACAACAAAAACTGTTACAATAAAATACAATTTAAATATTAACTGAAAAAAAAATGAAAATTAGAAATGTTTCCTTGGCTAACTAAAAAATAAATAATTGCATTACTAAAATTAAAATAAAAGCTAATGAAAATATTTTAAAAGAATTTTTAAAATAAAAATGAACATTGATATTTTTAATTAGATTACATTGAAAATATGCTAATTTAATTCAAAATATTAATAAATAATATAATAGAATATAAACAATACTAAAATAACATAAAATAAAAGTGTTCAACTGGATAAAAAATTTGCAACAATACTCAATTCACAATGTGCAATAATAAAAACTTAAAGTCCACACAAATTTGTTTAATTAAGCGAAAGAAGTCTAATTATCTTCTTAGAAGTCAAAAAGGTTGTATTTTCAATCAAATTTTGTGAATTTAAATAAAATTCTCAAATTTACTCAAAATTTCCAAAAATTGTCAAAATTCATGCTTGATCAAATAATAAATCACAAAACAGATTATTGCTATCGAGAACTAATAAAAAGACGTGCTACTGTGTTAAAACATAGCAAAAACAAGAAAGTAAATAATGACATTTTCACAAATGGCTGCAAATTAATTTTACTACTTCTGATACAAGGTATATTCTAAAACGTGAAACAATCCACCTCCAATGCAACAAAAAAAAATTTAATTATCCTACTGAATTAACTTTAGCAGCCTTGATATACTATTAACTAAAATGAAGACAATGCTAAATTTATCAATTAGAAGTGAGGTAGAATTCTATTGCAAACAGGGCCACTGAATATGTTTTTGTGCACACACATACACACACACCAATCAGCATTGATATACAACAGCAGTCCATTAGTATGAGCCCATACGAGCAGAAATGCTTGGAAGTCTGTCATAACAACAGGAAGCAGCATGTGTTTGCATGGTTGCTGTGCCACCACAACATTCCAGTATTAAATCACCATAATAAAAGCCATCCTGGACATGCATGCCAACACGTCACAGATATAACAACAGGCCTGGAAACCGACATCAGGGCTGAACTAAAGTGAACCAAGGTTTCCATAACAGGCCCCAAAACAGTTCAGTGGCACAGAGTGTGTCTGGGTTAATGGCTCCCAGGGCAGGCGTTCAAAAGAAAACAGTCAGCCAGAGCTTTATAATGCCTATAAACTTCGGGTTTACCTGGACTTTCCTGTTACAGAGGGTTTACCGAGACGGCCTGGCCTAAATTCCCCTTAAGCCGAGGGGCTGATCTGAAAGTCTTAACTGATTGAATCGAGTGGAAATGGTCCAACCGCCGCTAACACACAGCATGTCACGGAAGGTTATATTTTTTCTGTGAATTATGATGATCATTCAAAATTTGACAAATCACAGGTCTTGTTCCTTCATTAAAGGTGTGTTCCAGGTTCTGATTTGATGTATATGTGTATGTGTTAATCCATGGTCATAATGTTTGCATTGAATCAGTCATATATCGTTAGTTTTCTTTCTGAACAGGTAAATAAAGTCAAGCCTCAGCTGCTTCTCAACACTTTTACTTCGTCATACCTATTCATACAACCAAATATGAGAATGTAACATTCATCGCCATAATCATGCATACTTTCTTTGGTATAAGAACAACAACATTTTTGAATACTTAAACGCATACAGTAGTAGCCAAAAGTGATGTCCGGCCTAGGAACATTGACACACTTTATTTAAACTATTAAAAATGTGTTAAAGTGACACCTGCCAAATTGTGTCATACAAAGAAATCATAATGCAACAGATGCAAAAACTCAATGTACTTTTTCCTGTGAGCTTTTGTTTTTCTATGATTTTTTGCAAAGTAGAATAAAAACCTGCAGCTTGCCAAATAATTTTGTCAGATAAATCCCTTAACCAAGTGTAGTCTTTTGTTCTTCCCTCATACTTAAAATATTTTGATGGTTTCATCGAAATTGAATCCCCTCCGGACATAACTTTTGGCCACTACTGCGTGTAAACTCCTCCATTGCAGATCCATTGAAAAACTCTTTCAATGGCTCTGATCCATCGCAGTGGAATAGAATGCACCTTAAAACTTTCACAAACGCATAGTCCTTAAACAGATAGTTAGTCAATACAGCATTCCAGTCGTGACTCGTGATCCACACTACAGTAACTGCTTTGATGAGAAACATGCCGTGCCTGACAAAGCCTTTCCGCAGTCACTATATTCACAATAAAATATAGATTCCATAACATATAACTTAAAGGAGTAGTTCACTTTTAAAAAAACTCTTGCTGATAATTTACTCATCCCCATGTCATCCAAGATGTCCATGTCTTTCTTTCTTCAGTCGAAAAGAAATGAAGGTTTTTGATGAAAATGTTCCAGGATTTTTCTCCATGTAATGGACTTCAATGGGAACCAAACGGTTCAAGGTCCAAATGAGAGTTTCAGTGCAGCTTCAAAGGGATTTAAACGACAGCGGACGATGAATGAGTGTCTTATCTAGCGAAACGATCGCTCATTTAAAAAAATAATAACAAAGTTTAAGTTTTATAAGCTCAAATGATCGCTTTGCTCTGTTCTGTGATGCGCGTTTGTGACTCTCCTGTTCGAACTCGTTTATCAAAATGAACAAATCTTTTTTCGCGTCATTTGGTTCATTCAACGAACGAAATGAACGAATTGACTCGGGAAAAGATTTGTTCATTTTGATGAACGAGTTCGAACAGGGGGTGAGTAAATTATCAGCAAAAGTGAACTACTCCTTTAACTCTTTCCCCACCACTGATGGACCTGCTTTCCGTGTTTTCACTGTTATACGGTAGGGGGCGCTATGACACATCTTCTGAAAGAAGACTGAATCTCTGGATCAAAACACAGGTGAAAAAGAAGCAGAAACAAACGATAGCATATGTAGGCAGATGCATATGTAAAATAACGCAATCATAAACATTAAAAAGCATATATTATAAATCAAAACTGCCAAAAGTTACTGAGAGAAATGTCAACCTACGATGAGGTATAGGACTGTGCAAGCTTTAAGGGTGTTGATGAACTCGATCTACTCCATCTATGTTTTGATCATTGTTCTGAATCCCATCTGGATCTCAGCTTTTTCCTCAAAATGTTGCCTTTTTTAATGAAACTTACCCACGTTCAAGTATTGATTAAAAAAATGCAGGAATAAAAAAGCTGTTTAAAAGCAGAGGCTCTGTTCTTTCTTTTGATATATTGCATGTTCAGAGATATTCATACAACAAAATATAATGGGGGACGATGAAACTTTTATGAATATGTTTCAAAACACTGGCAGGGAAAGAGTTAATATAAAAATATATTAAAAACGCTATTGTTTGAAGGTTTGGGGCTGGGAAGATAATTCTAAAATGATGATTTGCTGCTCACGAAACATTTCTTATTATCAATGTTGAACACATATAATAGGGTCATATCATATTAAATGTTAAGTTACTCATAGCACAATTATGACACATATCCTTCGAACTGTTCCCCCTCAGTGCAGCACAGAAATACACAGACAGAAATGAATCATGATTGACTTGTGCCACCCTGTGAAATGAATCACTTACTTATTCAATCATACACACACAGGAAGACATTCTTACTGAGTTTACTTATCTACAAAAAAACTCATGCAACTCTGAAGACAAATTTATAGATCTGTTCCAAAACCTAGGCATCGTAGGTGTGCGGTTTTGACAGTTCAAAAATGGCAGGAGGCATAATTATGCATCATAACAATTTTTGGGTCAAAGACAATGTATATTTGCGGAAAGGCAATCCCCGAAAGCATCACACCAATTTCAGAGAAAACAACAAAGAACATTTGATATATATTTACATTTTAAATCTGAAAAACACTGATAAAATGTTATATATATATAAAATATAAATAAACTTAATACGTATATTAGGTAAAATTATATATTATATGCAACATTTTTTAACATTTTCGAAATATAGGCCCTACTGTAAACACACATCAAGACAGCTCACTAGGTGTTAGAACAAAGCCTATTAGCTAGTATTAAATTCAAGAAGCTAATGAACCACGCTCGTTTCACAGAGCAGCGGTTTTACGACGTGCAATTTAATCACCACAATATGAAGTGGCAAGTATGACTTTAATTAGAAATCATATCAATTAAATAGACACAATCCAGATGAATATTCACAGGGAATGTGTGTGTAATTCTGTGATTCTGACCTGGTCATCATAGCGATAGGTGAGATACTGCTCTCCTGTTGTGTCTTCCAGAAAGCTTCCTTGTGGAGAAAGTGCAAATTCAGGAAGGAAGTAAGCACTCTGCGTCTGGCTCGCTAACCCCTGTAAAACAAGACCATAACATCCATTCCACATTAAACATAATCGAAAAGTACTGTGGACATTATCATTTATGGAGGTCTGCATGTAACATTAGCCACACTATGAGGTAAGTATAAAGATGTTATGAAATGTTCAACTACTGTTAATACAGATCAAGCTGAATAATTTTGCAACTGTAATTGACCCTTCCCAAAACCCCACCCTCCCTAGTTACCGTTGCTACGCCTGTCAAGCTTTCGCTGCTGGCTGGCACATCTATTTCAGTGTGTATGCACTGGCGTCAGACATTTCCCAATGAGATAATTAGTCATTTTTGGCAAACATGTGAAATATCTGAGAGGGCAAGACAAAAAGGACTGCAATATTCCATTCGAGGGATATATCCACGACATAATATGCAACCGATTAGAGAATCATTTCTTAAAAATTGAAGCTAAAGCCTATAGTCCCAGCGCAAGCAGCAGCCACCTCATATGGTGCCCATTCAAATGGGAAACACAAATTGAGGAACAGCTATGCTCGTGCACAGCAGGGTATGTGAAATGTGAAAATAATCCTAATAATTATAAATCAAATAGCTTATCCATAAATCTTGTGGAATAACACTAACACCGGGAGAGCAACGATCGGATTGGGTTAAAGTTACTTAGTCAGGGGTAGTAGGCTGTCGATTAACAAAATGCTGAAATATATTTTAAAGTATGCCAGTGAGCCTTTGCGTCTTATTTTACGTTAAAATATATGCATTATGACCAAAGAACCGTCAATATTTACAAGCAATAGGTGTTTTTGTTAATCATGTTGACATTTATAAATATATACAGTACATTGATATACATTACCACTCTCTCTCTATATAAAAAAACCCGTATAGTACATAAAATAATCATCCTTTTCCTGACTGATGAAATGAACCTCAAAACCTGGCAGCTGCTAGCCATCTATGACATCCCCCAAACTAAAAGAAAATAAAAGACTACAGCATGGACAAATTAAGAGGAATTGCAACTGTTAAAAGTAGTGTCAAAAGTTCATTGCGAGATAGTAAGAAGCCCACAGCAAAGAAAGCGGTTCGGGGTCTTTCAGAGGTGAAACTCCCTTTTGTCTTAGAGGTTTATTGAGGAAGATTAGCTAAAGCACATGCACCAAATCCTGAATCGTTCAGACCAATTTGAAGTTGGCTACCATGAGTTTACTGTGTTGATGCCAGGACGGGTTTCTCAGAAGTGCCTGGTGGTGACACTCTTTTAAACATTTCATGCAAGTTAAAGAGGTTATAAAATCACAGCGAGCTCCTGAAAAGCTTTTCACCCTCCCTTCTCATTAAATGGGGAACTATTTACAAGTGTTTGAAGCTTGAAAACAAAATATACCTGGGTATCAAAAGTGAATCTAATTTTATACCTGAGCACTGGGAGCGTCTGCTGGTGCATGCATGAATGAATACATGCTAACCAGGTTCAGGATCTGAGCATGCTAAGTGATCATAAAAAAATTAGTCACGATTTTGGTCTTTGGTCAAAAATGACCCCCATAGGAAATGAATGGGAAATTGACAAAAACACACCAAAACTCAAAAAAAAAATTTTAATAAGAAATAGTTTTTGAGATTGTTTCAATTATATGTTCAAATCCACCAAAAAAATGTGTTCATAAACAGCTGGGGAATTCACATGCCTCTCCATAGAGAACTGTACATGCCATATAGTGGTTACACCATGATTATATGCTTTTTCTCTATACTGTAACCAGATGGTGCTAATTATCTTCAAAAAATATTTTTTTTCTGAAGGCCTAGACTCTATATTAAACAAAAATACTGCATTAATATTTTTTAAAAAATAATATATATATATAGAGAGAGAGAGAGAGAGAGAGAGAGAGAGAGAGAGAGAGAGAGAGAGAGAGAGAGAGAGAGAGAGAGAGAGAGAGAGAGAGAGAGATATTGGAAAAAAATAGACCATAAATATAGCATAAATATTAATAAATTCAATCAAATTGTTTCAAAATACTAAATTACAAAGAATAAATAGTATAGAACCAAAATAAATTGCATTGGTTTTACTGGGATGGAAGAAGTTTCATTTTTAGGCCTCCGGTCATCTGACCAGGAAGGCCCATGACGTGACTCATAAAGGAAGACCATTGATTACAAATGGTGGTCCACACACACAAAAAGTTTGAAAACCCCTGGGCTAACAGTACAATAACAGTTGCACAGATGTGTGTGCGTGTGCAACTGTGCAAGTTGGGAACTGGTGAGAAAATGTCCGGTACCCGCCCGGTAATAACAATATTAATTTAGTTCATAGTTAACGGTTCCTGGACGCTGTAACTAAAACCTGTCGAACGTTACGTGACTATGGCGGATGTTGCTGCGCCTGGGTCAGGTCAGTTTGAGTTTTTATTTAATGGAATTTGTTTACAGTAAAGAATACACAACAACATTATTTTGGTTTAATAAACTTTATTCAAACTTTCGTTTGGAGTTAAGTGCGCACACTCTTTAACGTTTAGTTAATTCTTACCGTTCTTTTTGTTTGTTTGTTTGATACGTCTGAGTCCCGTTAGCTGGTGCACCATCAAAAGGGGTTTGAGTGGAAACATTGGACGTATTTATATGGTTCCGGCCGAACCATTCCGGTTTCTTCTCCGGGGGGGCGATATTTTTTTTCTCAGGATGGTAGGGGAAGGTCCCGTCTTTTTATTCTCTGATTGGCTAGAAGGGCTCTCCTCCGATTGGTTTGATTTGGTTGTTGTTGTTTTTTTGGTTATTAGATTTTTGGTATGTTTGGTTTACCACCATTGGGTTAGCATTGGCTTTACTTTTGTAACCCCATCCGGTGGAAATAAACCCCTAAACGTTTGCAGTAGCCTGCTGCCTCCGTGTTCTTTTATCCTTTACTTGTCACATCTATCACTGGTCTATTTTTTGAGTATATACTATATAGCATAAACTATATATATATATATATATATATATATATATATATGAAGAGTTCAGATGCAAAAGCCTCTAAGTGCCATTTGAAATTTTCATCTAGAATGATCATTTTTATCAAGCTTGTATATTTAAGTTCAGTGATTTCACTTAAATGGCAATGATAATTACCTATTAATTGTTATTTAAGTGAAATTACTGAACTTAAATATACAAGTTTGATAAAAATCATCATTAAAGAAGAAAATTTCAAATGGCATTTAGAGGCTTTTGCATCTGAACTCTTCATATATATATATATATATATATATATATATATATACATAAACTAAATATATATGTATATACATATATATTTAGTTTATGTGTATATATATACACACATAAACTAAATATATATGTATATATATATATATATATATATATATATATATATATATATATACACATAAACTAATATATATATATATATATATATTTAGTTTATGTATATATATATATATATATATATATATATATATACAAATAAACTAAATATATATATGTATATATATATGAAGAGTTCAGATGCAAAAGCCTCTAAATGCCATTTGAAATTTTCTTCTAGAATGATCATTTTTATCAAGCTTGTATATTTAAGTTCAGTGATTTCACTTAAATGGCAATTATAATTACCTATTAATTGTTATTTAAGTGAAATTACTGAACTTAAATATACAAGTTTGATAAAAATCATCATTAAAGAAGAAAATTTCAAATGGCATTTAGAGGCTTTTGCATCTGAACTCTTCATATATATATATATATATATACACACACATAAACTAAATATATATATATATATATATATATATACACACACACTGTATATTGTGTGTGTTTGTGTGTCAAAATCAATGAATAAAAAATTAAAAAATGTATGTTCTTAGAGTTATTATTACTGTTGACAGCACTTAAATGTATATTCTTACAAGCTAAAGAACAATATTGTGAAATTCCCAGTTTTTTTTTTTTCACCTTTATGAGGCAAAAAAAAAAAAAGGCAGGTAAAAAGTCTCTGTGGCAGGTGAATTTTTAAATCCACCTGCCACGAAAAAGTTAACTTCAGGCCCTGATGCTAACGCTGGTGGTTACTTCTCCAAGCACTTACGCCCTAAAGAGCAGAGGAGTTTGGCACACGCTCAGAGAAGCCGCCCGGCATGCTTTCATCAGCCACACCGACTTTCACTGACAAGCCTGAATTAACAGCCCTAGTGTGTGTGTGTGCATGTATATTTGTGTGTGCGTGCGAATGCAGAGCAAAATTCAGAATAATATTAAAAACTGGCTCCAAATTTAGCCAAAACACAGAAGAACCTAAGTTTTTCAACTAAACTTAAATAATTAATTCATTTTGATTAATTATGTCTATTTCTTTCCTCTTATGTAGAACATGCATAATACACTCTAAAAAATGCTGGGTTGTTTCAACCCAAATTAAATGGGTCAAATATGGACACACCCAAATATTGGGTTAAAAATGTCATTTAAAATTTTAACCCAACTTCAACTTTCACCTTTCAACTGTAATTTTTTTTATTACATTTTTAACCCAACATTTGGGTTTGTCCATATAACTATACTTTCCATCATGTCATTTGTATTCAGTAATGGATTACAGTTTGTAAGCAATCCCCCCAGCACAGCATTTATTAATATCATTTAATATGTCTGAAAATATTTATGGTAATGCAACCCAGATGCGTGTATATTTGAGGTTAAAAACCCTGATCAAGTCAAAATAAAGACCCTCTGTTATTGTTGTTAATAATGGCAAAATTACAATCAATGTGTGTGTATGCATATGAAATGTGTTTGTGTGTGTTTGTCATGTATTGTACGTTTTTGCAATCTGTCCCCAAACAGAAGCATCAATCCAGACTGCTTACAGCCTAAACAAGAGTCATCTGTCAACCTTGTAAACACCCCACCATCTGTGTTCCCCAAAAACACACACACAGAAATCCTTCAGGTGCTGACTGCTGACTGGATTAGCAGGGGACATCTTCACCAGTAAATT